CTGCTATGTTGATAGTGTGGGCTTTTGTGTGGGTGGGTGGGAGATATCACGAGTTCTCAAAATTAATATTTCCTTGTACTATCAGGAGCAAGACTGCGGATCGAGATGTTTCTGTAATTAAACATGAGTGTTCTGCTACTTTTTTGTGGCACAATATTATGCTCTGTTTCAATAAGCGGCCGCACCAGCCAAGCACCTATCGCTTTTAAAAACTAAGATAGTATATGTACTGCTTTATACTGGCATTCTTGGGTCTTCATGATTCACTTGTTTTTCTTGATCATTTAGGGTGATTATTCAAATCTAAGAAGAATAGAAGAGCTGAAGTCACTTGGGGTTAAGTCTGTCAAGAGAAATGATTATTCTACTGCGGCAACAATGTATAGTATGGTATGCTATCATACCTTATTTCTCAATGTGCGGTCTTGAATATATCAGCTGAAGTTACTTGAATAGATGTTAGGTGATCGTGATATTGTTTCATATTATTCTTGTCATACATGCTCCGTTTAGAGAGTGATCATCTTTCTGACCGATATGTACAGTTGGCCTCACGCTTTGCTTTGAGACACATATCTCTTTAATTTATTGAAGATAATTTTATTGCCGTATGTAAGTTTGATTATGAGGACCTGACAAGGACTTCTGTATCCTTAAACAGCAGCAGAACTGTTGTTGATTTCATTTTTTGATGGGGGACGGCAGGAGCTGTGCTTTTGCATTGTAGAAGAGGGAAAAACACAGTACAACTGTACAACAGAGAAAAACGCTAAGACTCACACATGGAAGTTAAACTAAGCAACCCATCACCCTAGCTCGGATGAGCAGACTTGAGGATCGAAATATCCTCGTGGATGAAACTAGCTAATGCAGCCGCTTTCATCACTTTCTGCTCTAAGATCCTTCGGCTTCTCTTTTTCTAGAGATGCCAAACGACATAAACTGTGATGTCTGCCTGACCATGATTCCCTTTTTCCGGGATCCTCCTCCACGACTTGCGAATCCTGAGCGAGGAAAACACAATGGAGGAAATTACAGGGTCGTCAAGCTGGAATTGTTGCCACACACCCTTTGCATAGAAGCACTTGAGAGAAAGTTGCAGCGCACTCTTAGGTTCCTGGTCATGCAGGCAGCAAATACCGTTGTGTGGCCAACCTCATGCACTGAGCCTGTTCACTGCCCAGTTGTTGATTTCTGGGCTGTGGGTTTGGACTTTAAGAGACTGATATCTCTTGCGAGAAAGAGTGGAGATTATTTGTACATATAAATTGAACCTGTTTGACAATTGTCCTCACTCATCGTCCTATTCTTGTACTTTAGTTACTGCTATAAGGACATTAGCTTGAATTGACTATATTGTCCAGACTAGTGCATTTTTAATTATAATTATCAGAAATTCAAGGTTTTCTTTCTTGCCTTGTGAAGTACACAGAGTTGCAAGCAAGATGTGATTGTTTTTTTATATATAATCAGATCAGACATGTCCTAAGTTTGGTCTCAACCTGTTGGATGCATGCAGGCAATGGAGCATGACCCTCATGATGCCACCTTGTTCTGGAACAGGAGCCTTTGCTGGCTCCGCATGGGTGATGGACACAATGCTTTGCAGGATGCCCTTGCGTGCAGAGAAATGCGGCCTGGCTGGCCAAAGGCCTGCTACCGGCAGGGCGCAGCGCTCATGTTATTGAAGGTGTGATCGAATATATCTATCTGGCTTGCTAGTTTGTTACTCCTTTATTATGCCGCCGCATGTCACCCATTGTTTTACACCTTGCATTGTATCATCATCAGGACTACGGGGGTGCACGTGATGCTTTTCTGGACGCAGCCAAGTTGGACCCGCAGAGCTCTGAGATCAAGGCTGCGTTGCGGTACGTTTCAGTTTCACCCATAAGCTGTCATATCTGAATCTACAGCCGATTTGCGCAACTACTGATCTTGATCTACATGCATACTCGAAGGAGATGTATACACTGCATACGTTTATTTGTTAGACAATGTAGTCATGCATTGAAAAGCCTAAGCCAAATTTTGCCGAAACCCTAATGATTCTGATATACAGTTGGTGTTGGAATTAAACATGCAGGGAAGCTATGAATTCCTTGGAGATATCCCATGGCGCAACAAAGACCACTTGAACAGTATGGAACTGGAGTTCCCTGAATCGGCCTTGTTTCATTGGTTAACTTGGTGAACCAGTATGAGGAAAGAAGTAGCATTAGGGATCGACGGAGGGCACTTTTGTCATTTCCAGCTGCTGCCTCGGCTCTTTTGTTTCCTATTTTCTTTTACTTTGGTGAAGAAAAGTAGCAAGAGATGCGTCGACCTAGTCATCAGTGGCTAAGTAGCCGAAGATACATGGACCAAACTCCAAAAGAGAAATGCAAGAGAAGAAGCAAACAATGCAATATATCTTTGGTACTCATGTAGTAAAAGAAGTGGTCTTGGTCAGAGCCTCAGAGGAGCTATTGAATCCTCACTCTCCCAGAAAAGAGAGGAGCTAGAATGCTAGATTGAGATCGTTGGGAGTAAAGAGATCATTCACGGCGGTGACTGCTGCTGGTCGATGGCCGGCTTTGTCCCGTCGGTGATGATTTGCCTGCCCACCCAGATGTTCTCAACATACAACTATGCCGGAGTTGTATGTTGAGAACAAACAAACCATGCGTCTCCCAGAGAACAGAATTTAAACCAATAATTCATGAGTTGGTATAGTTGTAGTATGTTGAGAACAAACAAACCATGCGCCTTCAAGAGAACAGAATTTAAACCAATCAATAATTCGTGAGTTGAGAACAGACAAACCATGCGTCTCCAAGAGAACAGTATTTAAACAAATAATGTTACACCTACCGAGGAGTTGCGGAATATTTACGGGCTAACTAGGAAATGAGTTGACATGGCTGCCAGCCCGCGCTGAATGAGCAAAAGAAGAAGAAGATAATGCACAACCATTTGCTACGCAAGGAAAAGCCAGAAGGCAGGTCAGTTTTTCCAAAGGGCGACGAGGTTCTTTTTTTGTTTTGCATCATTCTTCTAGCTTTTCTTGATCAAGTCCAAGTATGCCACAGTTGGTGTTTTGGTTTCTGTGAAGCCATGACTCTAGTGTGTAATTAATGTGATCTTGAGTTGGTTGTAACTGGTGCTACCGCTGTTCTTGTTCAACTTTTGCATATTTCATCTAACTTTTACCTTTTCTTGATTAGATCAATGCCCTTTGCAACTTTTGCGTCTGTAGTACAGTTACTAGCTTGATCATCTCTTTAAATTCAACATGAAGGTCACGAGTTCATGGTTACCATGCCAACATTTAGGTAAACCTGTTTAGTTTTGCCTTCGAACAAGAATGGTTAAAAAATTCATGTTTTATAGGCATGGATGATGGAACGGTTGGTGTTCAAGAATCAAGTGACGTGTATATATATCAAGCGATGAAGACAACATCAATCACCTAAAGGAAAGCAACGTGGAACTTGAACTTGAGCATAATGAAGCTCAACCAGATGCGCTACTTAGAGATCCTGAATTGGGGTTGATCTTTGATACTGAGAATGAGGTGCAAGAGTACGTACATCAAATAGGCAAAAGACTTTGCTGTGACGAGAAGAAGCTCAAACCATGACAAAGATGGACAATGGAAGTACCTTACTCTTTCCCACTCTTGTTATGGCAAGACCATATGTTGAGGCCCAAATCCAATTGATGAGATATGATGTAAAGATAAAATTAACATATTCTAAAAAAAAAGAAGCTAAAATTAACATTACTCATGGTCCTGATGGGAAACTTTATATTTTGATGGTCATTTTGGATCATAATCACACACGAAGTTCACATAAATCTCGGTTCATATACAACAAAGAGTTGGATTTACATGCCAAGCGAAGGCTTGAGCTGAATGATCGCCAGAATATGACTAAACACGAATTTCAATTCCTTTGTTGTGGCATCGGATAGTCATGCAAACCTAACTTGTGGTGAGAAAAATTGTTGCAATTTTCTAGAGAAAACAAGAAGGTTAAAACTTGATAAAGCACATCCTAGCAACACTGATTGGCCATGATGAAGCGGTTTGTGACTGTTTTGTCAAAATGCAATCCAACACTCCAAACTTTTTGGCTTGATGCAAGAAGTAGAGCAGTGTATGACTCTTTTCATGATGTCATTACTTTTGACACAACATAATTGATGAACAAATATGATATGTCTTTTGTTTGTTTTGTCAAACTCAATCATCATGGCCAATCAGTGTTGCTAGGATGTGCTTTATCATCACATGAACATTCTGGTACATTTCTTTGGTTATTTCAAGCATGGCTTACATGTATGTCAAATCGTCAATGAAAAGATATCATAACTGACCAAGCAAAAGCAATTCCGAATAGTGTGGATTTTTTTTCTTCCAGAATCTCGATACACATGGTGGTTGTGACATATAACGAAAAAGATACCAGAGGAGTTGGGTGGATACAATGAATATTATCACATCAAGGTTGTCGTCGACACGACAATTTATGACTCATTAACAATTACGTAGTTTGAAGTTGCATATGCTTGTGAAGTATAATCTTGGTGATAATGAATGGCTTAAAAGGGTTTTATGACATTGGCACCATGCGGATAATAATTCGGATTCAAAATTTAGAAGTCAGGTTATCCTATTAGTCAGACTCAAATTCGGATCGGATTGTCGTCAGTAGCCAAATACTTTTATACCGTATCTTATGAAAATAGATTCGGGAACGCCTCACACGGAAATTATCATAACCATTGCCATCTTACAAATTAAGGAAGAGGAGCGGACATGTCCGCGGACAAAACCTGTGATTTGTTGTTGCAGATGCGCTTACAACGTGTTTGGCCACTTCAGCCCACGCTCTGTGTACACCCAAGGCGTACGCGCAGCATTTCCACCGCCGATTGACACGCCGCTCCGCCTCCGGCCTGCTGCCTCTCTCTCTCCCCTCCAAAATCCCACCACCTCGACACCACCGGTCGCCATGGCGCGGCGTCACCCCGCGGCCACCTCAGCTAAGCGCCGCGCCGCCCCTCCAAACCCTAGCCCGACCCCTCCGGCCGCCGACGGATCGCATCCGCTCCTCCACGCGGCTCGCCGCGGCGACCTCCGCCTCTTCAAGAGTACGAGGGCTTCGATTCCGGGCGGGCTTTGGTCGGCCGGCGTTTGAATCGGGGAGGCACTGACTCTCCCGTTCGTCGCGTCGCAGGGCTGGTGAGAGATCTGGATAAGGGCAGGGGCCGCCACAGGGAGGTGGTGGATGCGGCCAAGGAAGAAGGTCTCGGGGCGCTGCACTTCGCCGCCGGGAAGGGGAGGCTACGGGTGTGCAGGTACCTGGTCGAGGGGCTAGGGGTCGATGTGGACGCCGTCGATGACGCAGGTGCGTGCCTCTGCTGCCTCTTAATTTGCCTCTAAACTGTATGTTGACTTGTGTGTACGGAATATGTGTCGAAATAAACTGTATGTGGCTTGCGTTCAGAATCGGGCTATAGAAAACTTCCTAGACCAGCAGTTTACAACTGTAATGCTAGAAAACAAGTGCTATGTTATGAAAAATTTAGGACCCGAATAGCTGGGGAACGTTCGTTGCCAGAGATGGCATTTGCGAACGACCCAGATGGCATTTTTAGTGTTGCGGGCGTGGCATTTTAAGTGTTAGTCCATGGAAGTTCGTTTGTTTCAAGGCAAATTTCTTCAGAAACTGCCATCCGTGCCATCTGGATCTTTTGGCCGTGAGGGCATTTGCTGGGGATTGGTTCCTGGGGAACGGTTGCCAGTTATCATTACTGAATATTTATGCAACTTTGTACGTTCCAACATGCTCTGATAGGAAACGTCTTCATTTTTATAGGTCGAACGCCTCTGCTTGTGGCATTGCTTCGTGGAATCATGGATACAGCCAGTTATCTTCTTGATCATGGGGCAGATCCAGGCAAGGCTGACGACGAAGGGTTTGCCCCACTTCACCATGCTGCTACAGCAGGTACTTCTCTGCCAGCACAGCACATGGCATTTTTCTTCCAGTGCCTAACAATACTGTTCCATTATGATGTCTATGTGTGCTGGAAAGATGTAGAAGAAGAAGTTGTTTGACAATTTTTTCATAATTTTGATTCTATGCGAGTAGAAGAACATTAGTGCCATTTACTTGTCCTGGGTGATTTCATTAGGATTTAAAAGTTGCCCATTTTTTCTGCCCCCTTGTCTGTTTTGTAATTGTAACTATTCCAGTGCATGCAGTTTTAGTTGGTGTGGATCTTGATCATATTGAATTTTCCCCATCACACAATCAGTTCTACTTTGTAGTAATTTCCTATTGTATTCTCTTTTCATCTTTTTTGCTTTACTTAGGAGACCGTAAAATGGTGGAACTCTTGCTTGCAAAGGGAGTCTCTGTTGACCCAGTATGTGTTGATGGGACACCACTGTATGCCGCTGCCATTGAAGGGCATGATGAAATTATGCAAATTTTGTTGGAGAACAACGCGGATGTAGGTTTTACAACATACTATTTCCTCCTAATTTTGGCTAGCTGCATTGTTTCATGTTTCATTTACTTGGCAGTTGTGTTGAGTCCGCTTGACTGCTTTTCTTCAACAGTTGTGAAGTCTGAGTGCAATTAGCTAAATTATACAACTTTTAGCAATTATTCAAAATCACGCCTTTGTAGCAGTGACTAAGCGCACTCTGTTAACTTTTCTTTAAGTTCTACTAGTAAGGCAGCATTCTCAAAGAGCTCTGGCCATCTATGGTTTCTTGACTTCACAAAATAAATCTAGCTCCATGCATACCCTGTACGCCATATCTTCTTGCAGCTCCATCCTACTTGCTTCTTCAATATAGGCTCCACTGCAACTTTCTGAATTTGTATTCCCTCTAGTAAATCATGATGAAATATATTTTTCTTTCATATACGTTTACTCCTTTTGGTGCCCCTTGGTGGGTTCATCTCTTGGCTCTAGCCTACCCAGCTTGCTTGAGAATAAAAGATTAAACGGGTGGGCTGTTATTGTTGTACGTCTACTCCTTTGAATCGATACATGGGACTGAACTAAAAAAAGGGTCTAATTGCTAAAAATGGCCACTAAGGCATTAATGCTCAATATATTATTCCAGAAACTCTTGTCGATACACTACATGTTTGCTTTTGCAATGCTATTGATTTCCCCCCTTCTTCTTTTACAGTAGGCCACAGGACAACAAATGCATTCTTCCTTCTATTTGAATGCTCTTTCCTACATCTTACTTCAGTATAGTAAATCGTGTGTTATCTGTTTTTTGCCAGTGTAACAAGAAAATACCTGGTATTGACACCCCTCTTCTTGTTGCTATAACTGCTCCCTCAGTGAAATGTGTCAAGCTCCTGGTTGAGGTATTGTGCTTGCAGTCTTCATTTTCGTTGTGTTAGGCCTTAGAAAATTAGAACTACTTAAGCCAAATTTGGTTCAATGCTACATTTTTCGACACTAATGTAGGTTTGGCCTTCTTCGATGGTTTATTATTTGAGCTACCTTTGAGACATTTTTTTGTGGCCGCGCTACACTAAGGTTTTACACTAGAAAACGCCGTTTCTAATAGGCAATGAACCAAACAGCCCATAGAGAGTTCCTGTATGAACTGATTTGTAATAGTATTTTGTTTGCAGGCTGGTGCGGATGTCAATGACGGTATTCTAGCCCCTTTAGTTGTTGCTGCTGAGATGAAAGGCTCAACTGCATGCTTGAAGTTGTTACTGGAAGCTGGTGCCGACCCTAATGTTCCTGACCCTGTAAGATTGTTGTACCTTTATGCCATGCCATGTCAATTACTTGAACACCACAACTGATGTTAACAGCGTATTCTTGGAGCTGG